GCTGCCCAGGGAGGTGGTGGATTCACTGTCCCTGGAGGTGTTTAAGATGAGACTGGATGTGGCACTTAGTGCCATGGTCTAGTAACCATGGTAGGGTTGGACTTGGTGATCTTGGAGGACTTTTCCAATCTGGTTGATTCTGTGATTTATTTCTGCACTTTTCTCTGCCCAATGTGAGTGTCAGCTGTGGCTGGTTGTGTTCCTTCTCTGGGGTCTGTAAAACTCCACATCTGATTTGTGGAAGAAGCATGTTCTGGTTTTCTTTTTAAGATAAATTATTTTTATTGCTGTCACCTGTTGAGCTCTGCTATTGAATGATGCAGCCTGGAGGCACTTCCATCAGCAATTAACAGGATGAAGACTATACTTTCTTCAGATGTGCTTACAGCAGCAATCAGCACTCCTGGTAAGGTTCGATCCTGTGTGGAGGAACATTTTTGGGGGGTCTATAAGTGCTGTTCCAGTGGTGGTAATTTTGTCTCTGATCCAGAGAGAAGGTTTCCTTTTACAGATGCAGTTCACCTGAAGTAATGTGGGGAGAGAATAGAAGTGCAGATTCTCATCTCCCAGAGTAAAAAGTAATGGCAGCATTTCAGATTCTGAAACTGTGATTCAGCAGAAGTACAATATGGTGTGGATGTACTAAATCTGCCCCCTCTGTCACTCTCCCAGCTTCAGAAGTGAATCTGAGTCTTTTAAAACACTTCAGGCCCTTCCTGTTCCTGTACTTTTTTCTCTTGGTTTCACTTTTAGTACTGTTGATAAATAGGTCTTGTCTTGAAGAAGAGCCTTTAATGTATGAAACTAGGTGCCTTTCCTGGTGGGAAATTCACTTGTGTCCTCTGTATAGGGAGTCAGACGCATGACAAATGTGTCCAAATGTTAGGTAGACTCTACTAGTGTGAAGCTGCTGTTTGATCCTTGGGGAACCTTCCAGGGCTCTGAGGGGGCACAGACCCCAGAGTTCGGTGTTACCAAGCCTGCCTTCCTGCACATTGTCACCAGTGAGAGAAATGTGGCTTTTCTGAGCTCTCTGGATGGATCAATATCAGATCAGTGTAACCAGTGCCCTGAGATATTGTGCACACCTTGGGCATCATACTCAACACCCTTGTTGGCACCTCTGTGGGCCAGACACAGCGCTGACACAGTCCGTGGGGACGTGGGCCATGAGCAGAGGTGCTGCCAGTGGCTGTGGCTGTGTGTGTGAGGGGACAGTGGCCTCAGGGCATCAGCAGAGCAGAGCTGTTGGCAAAGTTGCCCAAGCTGCTTTGCCAGCCTCCTGTGCCGTGTGTGCGTCCAGCTGTCCCCGCCGCCTTCGCTCTGGGCTGAGGCAGAGGGACAAGAGACACGAGCAGAGCTGCAGTGCAGGCTGGGGACACTGAGGCCTGTGACTATGCTGCCTCTGCTTCAGGAATTTCCCTTCAGGAAAGCTTTGCTTTCCTCGCTGATGGGACAGATGTGCCAGGGGCTCAGTAGCCTGAGCACTGCATAGCACAGCGTTGGTCGTCAGGGTGCTCACCTCGAAAGAAGACATGTTCTTTTCCTCCCTGCAAGAGGCAGCAGCTCTGCTCTGCCTTCTGTGCCAGGAGACACCTCTGTGGATTCTCCCAGCAGTGATGGTGCTGAGTCAGGCTCAGCCTCACTGCCAGAAACATGTGCAATATCTTACTGTGTCACTCCTTGCTCCTGCTCTCGTGGCCTGCCCAGGGACAGCTCAGCCTGCTCTGTCTCACCAGCTCTGCCCACGTTCAAGCTGCGTCTTGCAGCTCACTGTTGCTCCCGTGCTCTGCAGAGCTGCTGAACAGGCCTGGGCTGGGGCAAGGATTCCTCACCCTGTGAGCACTGCTGGTGCAGTAGAGCTGAAGGCAGGTGAGATTTGCAGACCTCCCAGCTAACCTCATGGACAGACCCTTGTGCTGAAGCATCAGACGCCTCTGCTAGACTCAGCTTCACTCCTGAGATAGAGTCATGAGACTCCTGTCTACACTGCCTAACCCCAGGACACAGGGACAGACTGTCCTCCTCAACTGTCCTCACACACTGCCTCACATCTGTACCAATGCTGAAAACAATCGAACCGATGACGATGTTCATGGATGCTAAACAAGTTCTCAACAAATGAGCACTACTCTGGGATGGCAAAAGGGCTTTTTGTGCTAGATGGAGTACAAAATGTTGTCTCTTGTATGCCTGGCTCTGCCTGAGCAACCCCTTGCACAGCTTGCAGGTGAGAATAGCAAGATGGTTCCTGTCCAAAGACATGTCATTTTGTGCATGAAATCATCATAAAATGTGGAATGAGGTAAAATCAACAACATCTGTGAGCATCTTTGTCATGAGAAAAGGGCTTTTTGTGCTAGATGGAGTACAAAATGTTGTCTCTTGTATGCCTGGCTCTGCCTGAGCAACCCCTTGCACAGCTTGCAGGTGAGAATAGCAAGATGGTTCCTGTCCAAAGACATGTCATTTTGTGCATGAAATCATCATAAAATGTGGAATGAGGTAAAATCAACAACATCTGTGAGCATCTTTGTCATGAGTGTGTCAGATGTTGTTGTGAATGCCCAGCTCACAGGTATTGCTGAGCTGCACGGCAGGTACAGACTGAAAAAGGCAGGAGCATAGGCTTTGGGAATGTTGTTTAAGGTTTAGCTCACTGCTGCAAGCCCCTGGATGACTGTGGTAGCAGCAGACACATCCTGCAGAGGTGTCTTGTGCTCCTTTGTCCTCGCAGGTACACCTGCCGGTGTGGACAGCCAGGTGGAACATGGTGCTGTGGAACTTGAGCTGTTAACCAGCCACAGTGACACCAGGGACGAGATGAAGGGTCAATGCCCAGCAAGAAACCCAGGGGCATGAGCTGCAGCAGAGCTTCAGGCTGCACCCTCCAGCCTTCCACACTTGTGGTTCAGGGCAGCCTGGCACAAAAGGACACATTTTTCATCAGAGACCAAAACATTTTATTTTCGCCATTTCCACCCACTCAGGAGGCTGTGCCTGGTCTGTAGTCACACTGGGCAAATCCCTTCTGACTGAGCCTGGACACCTTGTGAAGGCACACGCCAGACCCAGGAGCCTTATACACTGTTGCTTCCAGTTCTGCAGGCTGCTAAAAGCAGGAGGATTGAGCAACAAGAGAAAAGCCTGGGCTGTTAGATGGTTATGCTTTGCCTTGCAAGCCAAGGGTGTCTCGATTTGCCAAGAAATGGGTGGGCTCTGCTGTGCCCCTGTGAGGGGACAGGAGCTGGGTGTCCTGGGTTACTGCCGTGCACAGAGCAGCCAGAGCCCACAGGAACCACCATGAGCCTTCCTGGTCAGGCCAGTGGGCGCAGAACCAGGCTGCTGCAACCAGCCCCTCTGCACCACCTCCTCCTTCAGCTCCGCAACTTCCCTTTCTCCTTTGCAAGCCTGGATCACAGCCTCTGCCTGCTTCCAGCCCCATGCACATTCTTGGCTTACAGCAGCAGGGAAGGAGTTTGAGTAACAGCATTCATACGCTGCACCCAGCCCAGTGGACACTGTCCACGGAGCCATGCAGGTGTTTCTTGTTCATAAGCTGCAGAACTTAGTAAGCTGTGTAAGTCTAGCACAAGCTGAACCCCAAGGAGCTTCTAACCACAGACAGTCCTTTTCCTGGAGGAGTGATGCTGCCCTGCATCTCCCCAGCATGAGCAGTTGGGGCTCGCCTGCTTCCCACCAGCTCACTCATGCTCAAAGAATTCGTGGCAAGCAGCAGTGACCATTGCAATGAAGGCTACAAACTCCTGGAAGTCGCACTCAGCATCCCCATCACTGTCCAGTGCCTCCATGACTTTGTCCACAGTCTCCTGGTCTTTGATCTCCTGAAGGGATAGAAACAGGCAGCCAAAGCTGGAGAGGATCCGAGCGAGACCCAGACATGTCCCCACTTCTGGGGTGCTCTCATGGCTGAGACTCTTCAAACACATCCCAAATAGCTTGTGGCTGTTTCCCATCTGTGTTGAGTACTGCCCTGCACCTCTGGGAATCACAGCCACAGCTGTGCCACTGGGAATGGACATTGTGAGTCCCTTGTGGCAAGGCTGTCCCCCCTTCCCAGGGAAGGAAATTTCTCTAGTATCCAACCCACACCCCAGCCTGCCATGCAAGCTGTTGCCCTCGCACTACTGCCTGCAGGTCTGCAGAGCTGGAGCAAAGAATTTAATGCCCTGCTGTGTGAATAAACCCCTTCCCCTGCACTTGCTTCCAATGGGAGACAGCATTAGTGGAGCACGGTGGCTGCTCAGAGCCACCTGAGCCCAGCCAGGCACACTGTGGGGAGGGCAATACTTACACCAAGGAAATGTGTCAGCTCATTGTTAATGAGCTCCTTCAGTTCCGATTTCTTCAACTTGTGCTTGTCTCCCTCCTTCCCAGAGTACTGGTGGAAGGCATCAATGATGGTGATCATGGCCTTCTCCAGCTCAGACATGGTCACGGCGTGGCCCTGAGGTCAGAGGGGGTGATGGCAGCCTTAGCCTGGGCAAGCTCCCGCGATTCCTTTTGTTTTGGAAGCACGACCACCCCGGGGGCTCCCCTATGGATCAGCACACTGGACCCTGCACTCCAAGCATTCTGCTGGGAAGCACTGACAGCAGCTCTGGCTTCAGGGGGGAAGGTCCCGAGAGACTGAGACTCTGCTCCCAGGGGCTCAACACGAGGAGAGGGCAGGCAGGGGTTCATTTCTGAACATGGAGCTTCAGGAGGGTTTTGCTGTCCCCACTGTCACAGGCTCCCTTTGCCTGCAGAGCTGTCTACAGCCGAGCAGTCAGGGGAACCAGGTAAGAACCAATTTTGATGAGTGCTTGCAGGACAAAATAAGCACCTCTTTAACTTCCCTCCTCCCGTACTCGATCTGGAGACTCTGTTGGGAATGATAATCATCGGGATTGCAGCGTTTCCAGCAGATTTCACAAACGGACAAACCAAAGAGACTCTGATCAAAAAGGGAAAAGTGCAAAACCACCTTCCCAAAAGCTGAGGAAATAAAAAAGCCTTTTTGCCTGGCACTCGGTTCGTTCATACCCCATGGGTAAATGTCTCCTGCCCTGTGACCTGGCTGCTGCTCCTCCACCACAAGGCACTGAATCTCATCCCACAGCCAGTTTCTCGGCTGGAGAAACTGGCTGCATGCTCCCCCATGCAGCAATCCGTATCCAAACCGAAAGACTGTTTCCAGTCGGGTAGGAAATATTCCTGGAACACTTGCCTTTGCATGCTCCTGCCCCGACTGCTTCCTGTCCGCAAGGCTGAGGAGCGTTTCGGCTCCCCATGGGCTCTGCGGAGC